TTTTAGCTATTGTAAATAATGCTGTGATGAACATGAGTGTGCATGTATCTGTTCCTGTCCTGGCTCTCACCTCTTTAGGATATATACCTAGTAATGGGATTGCTGGGTCAAATGGTGTCTCCACTTCCAACTTTCTAAGGAATTACCATATTGCTTTCTACAGTGGTTGTATCCCTTCATAGTCCCACCAGCAGTGTATGAGAGTCCCAATCTCTCCACATCCCCGCCAACATTTGTTATTTTATGTCTCGTTGAACTTTGCCATCAGTGCTGGGGTGAGACAGTATCACTTTGTTGGTTTGATTTGCATCTCTCTGATGGTCAGTGATTGTGGGCGTCTCTTCATATATTAGCTAGCCACCTGAATATCCTCCTTGGTGAAGTGTCTATTCATATCTTCTACCCATTTTTCAATTGAATTGTTAATCCCTTCGCTATTGAGGCGATGGAGTTTTCTATAAATCTTAGAGATAAGTTCCTTGCCAGATATGTTGTTATGTGCCATTGAGTTGGACCCCGACTCTTAACAACCCCTTCTTGGGTTTCCGAAGCAATATCACTACAGAAGTAGATTGCCCGGCCTTCCTTCCGAGGAGTGCGTGGTGGGTTTGAACCACCAGCCTTCTGGTTAATAGTCAAGTGCCTTAGGCACTACGCTACCAGAGCTCCTGCCAGATACGTAATTATCAGCAAATATGAATTTGTTGCTGTAATTTTTGTTAGGTGCTTTTTCGTGGTGTCGATTTCTTTGTTCTATATAATTTTCTATGCTGAGTTTGTTTTGTTTATGAATCATGTTATCACTTCCTTCGTTGCTGCTGTTTTTTTTTTTTGTTGTTGTTGTTATTGTTATGTGCCGTCAAGCCGGACCCGACTCACAGAGACCCATCCTTGGGTTTCCGAGGCAGTATCACTACAGAAGTAGATTGCCCCATCTTCCTTCCGAGGAGTGCTGTTTTAGTATTCACTAAATATTTGTGCTGGTCCTCTTTTTTATTTTTATGTGATGGTTTATCATTTTTCTTTGAGGTTACCCTGTGATTTATAGTTTTCTCCCCAAGTTTAGAACAGTCCGTTCTATCTTGTAGTTATCTTGACTTCCCTACCATCTAGAAGTTCTATAATGACACAGTTTTTTCCCCTCTTTTTGGTTTGCAGTTGTCCTCATTTGTCAATTGATGTCTCTGGTTCCCTGTTTATAATCTTATAGGCTTATTTACTTTGGATACTTCCATAGCTGAGTTGGTTTCTGGGTTATATCATCATGTGTGTTAATGGTCAGTTGTTTTTGCTGTTGTTGCTTCTCTGTCCAAAGGGCTCCCTTTAGCATCTCTTGTAAGGTTGGTGTGGTTTAAACAAATTCACTTAATTTCTGCTTATTGGGAAATGTCCTAATTTCACCATGTATTTAAGGGACAGTTTTGCTGGGTACATAATTCTTGGTTGGAAATTTTTCTCTTTCAGGGTTTTATATATACCATCCCATTGTCTTCTAGCCTGCATGGTTTCTGTCAAGAAATCCAAGCTTAGTCTTATTGGTTGCTCCTTGTAGGTAACGTTTTGTTTTTCCTGTGCTGCTCTTATCATTCTTTCTTTGTCTTTGGTTTTGGTGAGTTTGATGATGATATGTCTTGGTGATTTTCTTTTGGGCTCTATCCTGTTTGGGGTCGTTGGACTTCCTGAATGGATGTATTCTCATCTTTCATCATACCAGGAAAATTGTCTTCCAACAAATCTTGGACAATTTTCTCTGTGGTTTTATTTGTCTCTTCCTGTTTTGGAATTCCAGTTACACGTACGTTACTCCTTTTGATGGTATCCCACATGAACCTTAGGCTTTCTTTATTTTGTCCTGATCTTTTTTCTGATAGATCCCTTTCCAAATTCTGTCTTCCATTGATTCAATTCTGCTCCTTTGCCCATTCATGTCTTACATATTTCTGAAAATTTAGTATTAATCTTCTGGATTTCTCTCTGTAGATTTTGTATCATTTCTAATTTTTCATTTATTTTGTCATTTTGTTCTTGTATTGTCTTTCAAAATTGTTCTATAGTTTTCTGTGTTTTCCTTGATCTACCTCTCAATTTGTTGACGATACCTAAATATAATTATTTTTAATTCCTTATCAGGGAGTTCCAATGCTGTATCTTCCTCAGGGATATGTTTTAGGTCTGTATCCTGGTCCCTTGTTTCACCTGCTTTATCTTGCTGCTTTGTGTGGACTGTAATGCTCTGTTGTCTCCTAGGCATTATGACGTTTTTGTTTATATTTATTTAGTGATTATACGTTGGAGTGACTTGCGCATGATTTTCATTTTCTTTGTTTTGTTTGTATGTTATCTATGCAAACGGGGCACTGTGGTGTGCTCCTCTATTTACTGGTTGACAGCACTTATACACTCACTACCTGTCTCCTTTCCTGTTGTCAGCCCTGCTGACCTTGGAAAATAGCCTATTCCTAGGTCCCTGGAATCCAAATGAGAATGCTATCACTTCACAATCCAAAATGGTTGTTTACTTATAAAGATTCAAAATGGCTGCACCCTCGGTCACTTTAAATATTCCAAATAGCTGCCTTTTATGAACATTCAAAATGGCTGCGCCCTCACTCACTTTAAATATCCAAAATGGTTGCCTCACATAAACAATCAAAATGGCTGTGCCCTCAGTCACTTTAAATATCCAAAATGACTGCCGTGTGTAAATAGTCAAAATGACTGTGCCCTGCAGACAGCGGAAATTCAGCAGCTCAGGTTGTCTCCCTCCTTGCTGTTTGCTTTCCTAGTCATTGGCCACCAGTGCAGTCGTCCCTGCAGCCCTTGGCAACCAGGGCTGAACTTTAGATCAGTTCTCAGGTCCCAACAGCGCTTGAAATATTCAGGCTGCTGGTCCCGTCAGAGCAGCTGACAGTCCACAGCTCCAACTGTCTCTACTCAACTGTTTTCGTTCAGGTTTTTTCACTACACTAGTTGGTGCCTAATCCACTTGTTTAGTTCCTTTCAAAGCTTAGGGCTCCAGGATTATCTTCTGTATCCCTGTCAATTGGTTTTTCTTTTTTTTGTTGAAGAGGGTCTGTGTCACTTGTCTGCCTATTCCTCCATCTTACCGGAAGTCCTTAACTATACTTCTTCCAAGACAGATTTGTTCTTCTGGTGTTCCAATAACTGTTCAGCATTCTTTGCCAAGACCATAACTTGCATGCATCAATTCTTCTTTAGTTTTCCTTACTTATTGTCCAGTTTTGCTTGCATGTGGGGCTATTGAAAATACCATGGCTCAAGTCCAGTGTGCCTCAGTCTTCAAAATGACATCTTTTCATTTTAGCAGTTTAAAGAGGTCTTCTGCAGTAGATCTGCCCAATATAACATGTCATTTGATTTCTTGACTGCTGCTTCTGTGGGCATTGATTGTGGATCAGAGTAAAATGCAGTCCTTGACAACTTCAATATTTTCTCACAGTTTAGGAGATTAGAAATCTTAACTTCAGAATGCTTATTATAAGGGGAGACTGTCTTTGTTGGTTCTGGTGGAAGGTCCTTATATCTTGACCTTCTGCTCCCAGCTGATTCTCTTGTGGCTTGGCATCTCTTCTTCTCCATCTCTGCTTCTTTATCTTGCTTAATCTCTTTTATGTCTCAAAAGAGATTGACTCAAGATACACTGTACATTAATCCTGCCTCATTCACATAAGAAAGATAACCCATTCCCAGATGGGATTATAACCACAAAATTCATGTCGTTGTCATAGGGAAAATGCATTCACTACATCATATTATCCCAAAAGTCTTAAATCAACTCCATGTCTAAAATCTCATTTTCTGAATCATCTAAATCAAATATAGATGAGATAGGTGCATTCTGTCCTGGGGCAAAATTCTTCATCTGTGAGCCTGTGAAATCTAGAAGTACAAGTTACCTGTCTGCAAAGTACAATGATAGAATAGGCACAGGTAGACATTTCCATTATACATGGGAGAAATTAGAAGTAAAGAAGGGAAACAGGTACCAAGCAAGTCCAAAACACAGCAGAACTAACTATATTAGCTTCAAGTCTTAAAAATAATCCTCTCTTCTCTTGAGACCCATGTGAGTAATGCCCCTCCAGACTCTGGATGATGGCCAGGCCCTTTGGATTCTTAGTGGAGGCTCCTCAGTCCTAGACTTCTGCTCTTCTTTCCAAGTCCTCTGAGATGGCGACTCAGCTTTACCAAACCCACTGCCATGGAATTGATTCCAACTCATAGTGACCTTATAGGATAGAGTAGAACTGTCTCATAAGGCTTTCAAGGCTATAAATCTTTACAGAAGCAGACTGCCTCATCTTTCTTCCACAGAGCAGCAGGTGGGTTCACACTGCTGACCTTTCAGCTAACAGCCAAGTAGTTAACCACTATGCTGCCAGAACTCCCTTAGCTTTAGGTGGCCCTATTCTCCTAGTCTGTCTGAGTGAACACCTACCCCTTCAGCCCTTATAGACCCTGTTGTTCTGCTCCTTGAGCATGGCCGTCCCATCTCCTCAGCCCTGGTACACCATAAGGGCAGCCCCACACCCCAGAACCTATTTGGCAAAGATCCAGTTCTTTGAAACCTAGGAGGCTATGACCCCATCCTTTGAAACCAAGAAGGCCCTACTTCCTCTGTTCCTTCCAGCCGTTGTGCTGATCTCCAGGATGGTCCTTTTCTTTTCTTGGTGGACAACGGATGTAGCTCCAGTAGCCTGTTTCCTGTCTATAGAATTCCAAGGGGCAGACAATATTCTTTCCTTTTGTTCTTTTTCTTTCCCCTTCAGTGTAAGCTGATGGGTTTTCTGCATTGGTAGTTGGTTAGATCCATCAGTCAGAGGCTTAATCTCTTTAACAAAAGAGTGTGTAGTCACATCCTAGGTGAACATTCTAGGACACGTGTTCTTAATTTGTACAACAGAATCTTCCAAATCTTTAAGTTATGTTTTCATTTTGCATAGTTACTTTTTAAGTTCATCTCTTTCCTCTCATATTTTATTATAAGTGGCAAGGATGAACCATCTGGGCCCTTTAAAATCTTGCTTAGCAATCCTTCAGCCAGATATCCAAGTTCATCACTTACAAGTTCTTTGCCACTGCATAGAAATAGCACTCATCCTCCATTGTCTGGTCACATTGTTCATCATTTTCTTTTAAAGTCTCACCAGAAACACAATTTAATGTCCACATTTCTAGCCTATGTATTCTTTAAGATGAGGAAACTTTCTCTGAAGCTCTCCTCCCTTACTTTTGAGCCTTCCACAAAATTGCCTTTGTTGTTGTCTATAATTCTACCAACAGTCTCCTCAATCTAAACCAAAAAAAAACCAAACTCACTGCCATCAATTCAATTCAACTCATAGCAACCCCTCCTTGGGTTTCCGAAGTGATATCTTGACAAAAGTAGATTGCCCAAGCTTCCGAGGGGTGGCTGGTGGGTTTGAACCACCAGCCTCCTGGTTAACAGTCAGATACCTTTGGCACTACGCCACCAGGGCTACGCTATTGTTGTTGTTATGTGCCATCAAGTCGGCCCCGACTCATAGCGACCCCTCCTTGGGTTGCTGAGGCATTATCACTACGGAAGTAGATTTCCCAACCTCTTCTGGCCTCCCCGTCCATTACCCAATTGCAAAACCACTTTCACATTTTAGGTATCTGTTAGAGTAGCACCCCACTCTCCTGATACCAAATTCTGCCCCTATATTCTAGGCATAGAGGTTAAGATTTACAGCACATATTTTGGGGGACATAATTCAATCCATACAGAAGAGAACCTAAACCACTTTGGTCCTAGTGTTTCATGGAGTCAAATGAGAGATGAGATTTATTTAACCTTTGGCCTTACACTTCTCTCCCACACACAGACTCAAGAAGATTTGGATTTAATAAAAAAGGCTGACTGCTAACCAAAAGGTCGCCAGTTCAAACTACATCAGCTGCTGTGTGGGAGAAAGATAAGACAGTCTGCTTCTGTAAAGATTAACTGCTTTGGAAACCCTAGGGGGCAGTTCTGCTCTGTCCTGTAGTTTTGCCATGAGTCAGGATAGATGCAATGGCTTAGGGTTTGGTTTGCATTAGGTAAAAAAGGCCAAAAAACCAAAGACAGTTGTTTATTATTCATATTGTAATTTTGTATCTGTTTATACTGCCCCTTGATAATATATCAAGGTGCCCAGATGGCACAATGGTCAAGCACTTGATTGTGGTCTGAAAGGTCAGAAATTCAAACCCATAATAGAAGAAAGATGAGGCAGTCTGCTTCCATAAAGATTATAGCCTTGGAAACCTGATGGGGCATTTCTCTGTCCTACAGGGTCACTATTGGTTGGAATCAACTAAATGACAGTAGGTCTCAATATATCATTTTGATTTTAGATTATACAAGGATTATACAATCATTTTAAGATTCCAAGATCATGTGCCATATTTCCCAAACCGGTGTAAATAATTATTAATGAGTGTTACAGGAGAAAAGATTCCTGACTCAGTTCTAAAATCTGATAGCCCAATTTTAATACTCTCATTTCTTGATTTCTGTCACTCTTCTTACATCCTGAGATCTGGGCTTTCTTACTCTGTTTTTACCCATAGAACTCTATCCCAAAGATTTAAAGAAGTGGAATTATTTTGGAATTGGGGGACATCAGAAATGTAAAATGTTTATAAATATGACTGTTGGTAGAAAGAGATTAATTGCTCTGTTCTTGTTACTTAGGAGCACTGCCTTATGGGGATCAAAGGAACTGTTAAGCGTAGCACAGACGGAGACTTCATTCATGCTAATGTTGACATTGACTTAATTATCACAGAAGAACCTGAAATTGGCAATATAGAAAAACCTGTAGAAATTTTTCATATAATTGAACATTTTTGTCTCGGTAGAAGACGGCTTCATCTTTTTGGAAGAGATAGTACAATTCGACCAGGTAGGACCTGACATTATAAAAAAGAAATCTGTGTGGTTCTTTGAAATATGGATGTCAAGAAATAGGACACAGTGCTGTGTAAAATAAAATTCCCGTGGTGTGTTTGGCTCCCCTTCTTGCTGTACTTCAGGTATGCCAAGCTCATTCTTGCCCCAGTGCTGTTACATAGTTCTCTCCTTTCATTCAAATGTCTGCTCAAATGTCCCTTTCTCAGATAGGTATTTTCTCACAGCTCTAGGTAAACAGGCCAACTTCCCACTTCTCTCCCCTCCTCCCATTACTCTTTCCCCTTAATTCTGTTTTATTTTTCTTCATAGCACTTACCACTATCTGAATTATAGATTCATTTGGGCACATGTTTATAGTCCGTCTCCCTAGCATGCAGTTTCATGGAAGACAAAGACTGTCTTACTTTTTTATGCCCAGCATTTTGATTGCTCAGTCAATAGTGCATTGAATGAAGGAATGCATAAATGGGTGATAGAACAATTCTGCAGAAAATAACCTTCTATTTTGAAATGCAGTTCAGTAACTTGGTTTTATTAAGAACTGAAAAATGTGACTTGTTTCTTTGTGTGCATGGGGGTGGCATTGTCTTTACAGGATTTTAACTTTTTACTAAATTGATATAATGTAAATGCACTATTTTGGGGGAAAAAAAATGGTGGAAAATAATTAGGCTATTACAGAATAGGATTTTCTTTTGTTGGATACATCTTTGATTTACAAACCTAAAACCAAACCAAACCTTCTGCCACTGAGCCAATTCTGACTCATAGCAACACTATAGAACAGAGTAGAACTGCACCATAGGGTTTCCAAGGCTGTGAAGTTTTACAGAAGCAGATGACCTCATCTTTCTCCCATGGAGTGGCTGGTGGATTTGAACTGCTGACCTTTCGGTTAGCAGCTCAGTGCCTTAACCGTTGCACCACCAGAGTTCCTTTTGATTTACAGAGTGGTGTTGAAATTACAGTACACTTTGTATACTTTCTCAGAAACTAAAAGTAACTGTGTTAAGAGTAGTGCATATTGCTTCAGTCTCAGTATAAAAAAAAACAAAAAAAAAACAAACTGCCATCAAGTGGATTCTGACTCATAGTGACCCTATATGATAGATTAGAATTGCGCCATAGGATTTCCAAGGCCATGAACATTTACAGAAGCAGATAAGTAAATACAGTTTAAAGATGGAAGGGCCAGAATCTCATTATTTCTTCTTCTTTCTTTTAAAAAAACGGACTACATTTTCAAAAATATAGTGAGAAAAGTTGAAGCTACAATAGAATAATTGACCCTAAAAGTAAGAATTTATAAGAAACTGATGTTCTTTCTAAAAAGAGTTATCCTTAAAATTCCTTAATGTGGATGTATAACAGAATTCTTTCCCCCACCACACCCCCTGCCAGCTATTTCTTTGTAACTGTTTTTTGGTGAATACAAAAACTTGAAAATATTTCAGCTACAGAAACTTCTTGTTAGTTGCCATGGAGTTGCTTCTGACTCATGGAATTATAACCGTGTGTGTTATAGAGTAGAACTGCTCCATAGAGTTTTCTTATTGTAATCCTAACAGATGCAGAACACTAGGCCTTCTCTTTCATGGTACCACTGGTTGGGTTTGAACCTCTAACCTTTAGGTTAGCTGTCAAGTACAAACTGTTTGCACCACTTAGCGACCTTCATAAGATACTGTAAAATAATAAAACTGAAGTCACTTTACAAAGAATTTTTTTCTATGTGAAATGTATAATCTACAGTTTGGCTTTACAGAGAGTGTTCATTATATTTAAAAGTATGTTTTCTCATGATGGTTTGCCAAAATTCATGCTAAAAAATATGTATCAGTCCTATGTGGCAGCTCAACAGAGTATGGCAAAGTGTAGCCACTATCTAGGTTAAGAAATAAAATATTCCCAGCATTTCTTATCCCCTTTCCTTATCATTATTCTCTACCCACAGGTAACCTACTCTTCTGACTTAAAACACTAGAGATAACTTTTGGATTTTTAAACATACTGACCTTGATAAAATAAGTTATTAATTCTGATAGTTGTTAATTCTTTTTTTTTCCCCTATGTAATCATGCCAGCTAAAAAAAAAAAAAAAAAAAAATTGCATTTTTTTTATTCTTCTTCCAATCTTTATTCCTTTTGTTTCTTTTTATTATCTTATTGCACTGGCTAGTATACAATACAGTGATGAGTAGAAATGATATTGTCAGATATCTCAGTCTTGTTCTCTATATTTCTTCACTAAGCATGGCATTTTCTCTAGATCATATTGCCTTTCATTAGAGTAAAGAAATTCCTTTTTAGTTTTGAATCTACTTGTCAGGAACTTACAACTGTTAGTCTCAGTTTTGTAAGGCTTTTTTGATTTTTGTTTTTAAATCGTGAATAGAAGTTGAGTTTTCTCACGTTTTTTTCTGCATCTATTTAGATAGGGGACTCACAGAATTATTGTTTAAAGGGCCTTATAGTCGATGTTTTAAGGAGCTCTGGTGGTTAAGGCATCTGGCTGCTAACCAGAAATTTGGCAGTATGAACCTACCAGCTGCTCCTTGGAAGAAAGATGAGGCAGTATGCTTCCGTAAAGATTTACAGCCTTGTAAACCCAACGAGGGTCGCTATGAGCTGGAATTGACTCAATGACAATGAGCAAGTGAGTGATACTTACTGCTTTAGCTTTCTTGCCATACAGTACCATGTTACTGTGAAATTTTGCCATTATAGTGTTTTCAGAACAGCCATAGACAATAATAAAAATATTACCTTGATAATATCCCTTGTGAATTTAGAGACATTTAAAGAGTAGATTTGATACACTGAACATCAGTGGCCAAAAATTAGAGGAATTGTGGGATGATATCAAGAACATCATCCATGAAGAAAGCAAGAGGTCATTAAAAAGACAACAAAGGAAGAAAAGACCAAAATGGATGTCAGAAAAGATTCTGAAACTTTCCCTTGAATGGAGAGTAGCTAAAACAGATGGAAGAATTGACAGGGTAAAAGAGCTGCAAAAGATTTCAAAGAGCAGCTTGAGAAGACAGAGCCAATTGCTATAATGAAATGTGCAGAGACCTGGAGTTAGAAAATCAAAAGGGAAGAACAGGCTTGGCATTTCTCAAGCTGAACTGAGGAAAAAATGTAAACCTCGAGTTGCGATATTGAACAGTTCTATGAGCAAAATATTGATTGATGCAGTAAGCATCAAAAGAAGATGGAAGGAATATGCAGTCACTATACCAAAAAGAATCAGTCAATGTTCATCCATTTCAGGAGGTGGCATATGATCAAGAACCAATGGTACTGAAGGAAGAAGTAAAGACCCACTGAAGGAATTGGCGAAGAACAGGTTCCGGGAATTGACAGAACACCCATTGAGATGTTTGAACAAATAGATGCCCCGCTGGAGGCACTCAGTCAGCGATGCCAAGAGATTTGGAAGACAGCTTCCTGGCCAACTGACTGGAAAAGATCCATATTTGTACCATTCCAAAGAAAGGTGATCCCACAGAGGTGGAAATTATCAAACAATATCATTAATATCACATGCAAGTAAAGCCTTACTGAAGATAATTCAAAAACATTTGCAGCGGTACAGTGACAGCTTCCAGAAATGCAAGCTGAATTCAGAATAGGATGTGGGACAAGGGATATCATTGTTGATGTCAAATGGATCTTAGCTGAAAGCAAAGAATACCAGAAAGATGTTTACTTGTATTTTATTGACTATGCAAAAGCATTGATTGTGTGGATCATAACAAATTATGGATAACATTGAGAAGAATGGACATTCCAGAGCACTTAATTGTACTCATAAGGAACTTGTACATAGATCTGGAGGCTGTGGTTGAACTGAACAAGGGGATACTGCATGGTTCGAAATCAAGAAGGGAGTGTGTCAGGGTTGTATTCTTTCACCATACTTCTTCAGCTAGTGTGCTGAGCAAATAATATGAGAAGCTGGGTTATATAAAGAAGAATGTGGCATCAGGATTGGAGGAAGACTCATTAACAACCTGTAATATGCAGATGACACAACTTTGCTTGCTGAAAGTGAGAATGACTTGGAGCACTTACTGATAAAGATTAAAGACTACAGTCTGCAGTATGGAGTACACTTCAGTATAAAGAAAACAAAAATCCTCGCTGCTGGTGTAAGAAACTTCCACAATAAATGGAGAAAAGATTGAAGTTGTCAAAGACTTCATATTACTTGCTTCTACAATCAACACCAATGGAAGCAGCAGTCAAGACATCAGACAATGTATATTGCATTGGGCACATCTGCTGCAAAAGACCTCTTTTAAGTGCTGAAGAGCAAAGGTGTCTCCTTGAAGACTAAAGTGCACCTAACACAAGCCATTGTATTTTCAATCAGCTCATATGCATGTGAGAGCTGGACAGTGAATAAGGAAGACAAGAAGAGTTGATGCTTTTGAGTTGTGGTGTTGAAGAAGAATGCTAAGAGAGTGCCATGGTCTGCTAAAAGGACTAACAAATCTGTCCTGGAAGAGTGCAGCCAGAATGCTCCTTGAAAGTGAGAATGGCCACACTGCCTCCTACTTTGGTCATGTTGTCAAAAGGAACCATTCTCTAGAGAAGTATATCATGCTTGGTAAAGTGCAGGGTAAGCGAAGAAGGGGAAGGCCCTGAACAAGATGAATTGACACAGTAGCTGCAGTGATGGGCTCAGGTATATTGCAAGGATCATGAAGCTGGCACAGGACTGGGCAGTGTTTTGTTTTGCTGTACATAGGGTCACTATGAGTCTGAGATGACTTAATGGCATCTAACAACAACAACAACATAGACAAACCAATGAGTTAGGCTATATCCCAGTGAAACTTTTTGTTTGCAAAATCAGACGATGAGCTGTGTTTGGCTTGCAGGGTAGTTTGCCTACCCCTGATTAGATAGACATAGTGGTTTTGTCTTTGTTTGGTTAATGTGGTGAACTACATTGACTGATTTTCAAATGTTAAACCTGTCCTTGGACAAGATTCCTTGGATAAACCTAACTGATTGTTATGTGCTGTCCTTTTTATGTATCTCATGATTTTGTTTTCTAATATTGTACTGAAGATTGTTGCATTTATATTACTGAGAGAGACTGGCCAGTGATTTTTAATTCTTATGATATTAGTGCAGGTTTTAGTATCCATATCTGGATATTTTGCCCTTGTGAAATAAATTAGGCCTTATAAAACTCTTCTCTGCAACTCTTTGTACAAAGTTGATGTTATTTCTTCCTAACATAGTTGGATAAAGTTACTGGTAAAGCCATCTGGGCCATGAGTTTTCTTTAACCTGAGAAATTTTAAATTATAGGTTCAGTTTTCTTATTCGTGAGAGGACTATTTAGATTGTTTCTTCTTACTGACACATTTTTTTTCATCTTGATCAGTTTTATTGATGTTATTAGTCTTTTCAAAAAATCAATTTTTACCTTTCTTGGTCTTCTCTATTGCATATTTATTTTTATTTCATTATTTTCTACTCTGTTTTCTTCCTGCTACTTTCTTGGGCTTACTTTGTTAATTCTCTATCTGAGATACAAGTTTTAGAGCATTATTCAACTTTCCTGTATTAAATTGAATTGTATTTATGGTTCTGAATTTCTTTAAGCATAGCTTTCTTTCATTCTGAAGTTTTGACCTGTAGTGTTATTATTGTCATGTATTTCAAAACAGTTTTTAAATTCTTCATTGTGACTACATATTTAACCCATTGTTATTCAGAAATATTTTATCATTGTTATTGTTTCTTGGCTTAGTATTATTGTAGCCAGATGATATACATTGTAATATTTCACTCCTTTGTAATTTGTTGGGATTTGCTTTATGACCCAGTTCTGATAAATGTTCCAAGTACAGTTGAAAGTAATATATATTCTGTTTTTGTTGTTGGTTGTAGTGTTTATTAATTGAGTGTTAAGTTATGGATGATACCCCTATCTTTACTGATTTTTTAATACTGCTTGTTCTTTAAGGAAGGTCTTTTAAAATTTATTATTATTATGAATTTAAAATGTTCTTTAGTTATCATTTATGTATATATTTGAGGCTTTGTTAGGTGCATATAAAATAAAATTTTTATGCTTTACTATTATATTTACCCTCTTAATATTATGAAGTATCCTTCTTTATCCAATGGTTTTTGCTTAAAGTCCACTTTCATCTTACATTATTGTACCTTTTTTTTTTTGGTTTATGTTTGCATAGCATATTATTCCCATCCTTTTACTTTCAATCTTTCTGCACTCTTACATTTAAAATGTGTCTTTTTTTTTTAAGTACTTTATGCTCATGATCTCATATACTTCTTAAAAATTGTGAAGTAGGTACTTTCTTTTTTTTTCTGCTTGCTTTTTATTTATTTTTTTATTTTTAAGAGTTTGTTTTACATTCAACATTACACGTACATTTAGTTTCACTCCCCATTTACCATCCCCAACCCTAACCCAGTCTTGTCCCCTCCCTGCCTAGTAACCCTCACCTAGTGCCCCTCATAGTTATGCACTCCTATGTGTCCTGCATTTCCTCCGTGTGAATGTTGCCCCTCTGGTGCTCCGTGGTCGATTGCTCCAAGGGATGCGTTTCTGTAAAGTATGTGGGTGCGTCACCTGGGTTGCATGGTCTGCATGTACATCTTGTTTACTATTGGGTTGAGAGCCAGCCTCAGGGATTGAGTTTCATTCCAGGACCGTAGTATGGGGGTGGGGGTCTTTTGTAAACAACACATGATTGTTTTTTCATTTGGTCTGACAGTTTTTATCTTTTAGTGACTGTATATTTAATGCAATTCCTGATATGTTGTTGTTATGTGCCATCATCTTAATTTTTTATTTTACATTAGCACCACCTAGTCTCTGTTCCTTTTACTCTCATTTTTCTTGGATTGATTTAAGTATTTTTTTATTACTCCATTTTTCCTTTCTGTTAGCTTGTTAATTAAATATTCTTTCATCATTTCTTCAGAGGCTATTTTAGAGATTGCAGCAGTATGTACCCTTGAAACACTAAATACTAAAGTTTATATTAAAGTAGTGTATTAGTTTTTAGAGGGTAGAAATGCTATTATTTAAACTTTATTTTTTAAAACTGATTTTTCTCTACATATATTTCATGCAGAGTATTATAAGTTGTGTATATACAACTATAGAATGAACTTTGACTTGTGTGGACTTCGTTTACAAATACACGTGTCTTGTTTAGAATTTCCTATGGATGATTTTACTCTTTCATCATAATGGAAATATTTTGACAGCAGAGCTTGTGGCAAACAAATGTTCATCTTCATTGGCTTAAAAGAAACCAACATCTCCAAGTACTCAGCTGGAGGGATGTATTTGTTCAGAAACCATAGCTGTCCGTATATATTGAACATTGAGATTATGGTGGTAGTGTTTGAATAAATAAAGAACGGATTTTTTTCTTCCATCATTAACCTGTCCTACCCCAAAAAAGCTGCTGAATCTGGGAACAGTCTCCAGTTTCAAGTGCTGTTTTAAGGAAGCAGAAAACTTAAAGAAAAAAGAAAATTAAGACTGCATGAAGAGTCAAAGGAAACATCAAACAGATGGTATTCTTTTAATATTCGAAAAGTCATTGTAACAACATTAAAAAAAAGTTAAAGAGGGGAAAAGATTCAAAATCTTCACTGCCACCAAGAATTATTTTAATTTTTCACATAATAATTTCACATCACTATGTATGCAGATTTTTACTAATCGTAGTCACCATTTTGTCTTCCTCAATATTGTGTTAAATATTTTTCTACATTTTAAATAATTATTCATAATCTGGGAGCTCTGGTAGCATAGTGGCTAAGACACTTGCCTGCTAACCAGACGGCTGGCGGTTCAAACCCACCAGCCACTCCTCGGAAGGAAGGTTGGGCAATCCTACTTCCGTAGTGATACTGCCTCGGAAACCCAAGGAGGGGTCGCTATGAGTCAGGGCTGACTTGACGGCACATAACAACAACAACAACATTCATAATCTATTTTGGATGGCTTCATAGCGTTATTTTAATTATTTTTATTAAAAGTTCCTCCTTCAAACATGAGTAGAAAAATCTAAACAGTTGAAAGTAGAGAATTGTTACATATAGTTGTGGATATAAGCATAGGAAGCAACTGAACTAAAGATTTTGCTTGCTGGCAATTTTTAGTTAAAAATTTTCAATTAAATTTTCCATCCCTTTAGCTGTGCTACCTTACCTACTTTAGATTATACATTATGGTTTCATACAGGATACCCTATCTGTATCTGTACCAATTGAACAGATCTTAGAAGTACAGATTTTAATTTTTGCTTAGAAACTACCATTTGATTATTATTGCCCATTCTTTGAAAATTATTTTAGTATAATTTTAATTATGTTGTTGTTGTTGTTATGTGCCGTCGAGCAGCCCCGACTCATAGCAACCCCTCCTTGGGTTTCCGAGGCAGTATCACTACGGAAGTAGGATTGCCCAACCTTCCTTCCGAGGAGTGGCTGGTGGGTTTGAACCGCCAGCCGTCTGGTTAGCAGGCAAGTGTCTTAGCCACTATGCTACCAGAGCTCCCAATTTTAATTATAGTCATACATAATTAGGAAGGAAAATCTGCTTGGGGAAATTATAGGTCCTTTGAAGATTAACCACATAAATACTAGTAGGGGCAATTGAGAGAGGTCTGCTCAAGAGTACTTAATTTATTTGGGTTGAGTCCTCAAATAGACTTCCTCAAGGATGTCATCTAAGTTGTATCATATATGCTATTGTTAGTTGCTATTGAATCAACTCTGATTCCTAGTGGTCTTATGTATAACAGAACAAAATATTGGCCATCTTAATGACTCTTGATATGCTTGAGTGCATTGTCTCAGCCATTGTGCCATTCTATCTCCTTAAAGGATTCCCTCATTTTCATTGGCTCTCTACTTTACCAGACATGATGGCTGTCCTGATGATGTGTCCAAACTAAGTGAATTGAAGCCTCATCATCCTTGCTTCTAAGGAACATTGTGGTTGTATTTGTTCTGACACTGATTTGTTTGTTCTTCGGTACTCTTGTAATATTCTTCAGTATTTATTCATTCAATATTCTTACCAGTGCTACAGTTCTTCTGTCTTTCCTTTTCATTATTCAACTTTCATGTGCATATGACATGATTGAAAAGACCAAGGGTTGGGTGAGACATACCTTAGTCATCAAAGTGACACCTTTGCTTTTTAAAATTTTAGAAAAAACTAAAGTACCTTATATCACATATTCCTTATAAATACTATTTACCATTGCTTTAAAAGTTTTAAAAATAGCTATGAGAGTTAATGTAGTCTGAAGCAAAGCTATTTTAAATTTACCTAGTTCTTAGTAATACCTTTAGAAACTTAGAATAAAACACTGTTGTCATGAAGAACTTGGGAGAAGGAAAAAAATGAGACCTTTAGGCTTCTGTAACCAGATTATTTCCCAAAGATTTGTATGTGTAATTTATGTAAGAGACAGCATGATATGAAGGAGGCCCTATTAACTATTTTTATTATATCTTTAAATTTTCTTGTTTCATACCTCTTGTTTGTATGCTGTGTTCTAGAACACCACAAACAGTGCCCAAAACAGAACAAATAAAAATCTGGTGGGCTCAATAGCCAGTGAGACCACAGAGGTTAAGTATACTCATTAATCTTTTCTGCTTGTTAGGGTGTTAGAAGGTGATATATAAAAAGCACAGTGCAATTTACCTGCTATTTTTTTCTTTCACATACTACATTATATATATATATATATATAAATTAAATCATTCAAATATGGGTATGATTAAATACCAGGAATTCTATAAAAGAGATCAATATTGGGTGAGTGATAGGGGACATCTTTAGGAATGTAGTGGGATTTGAGCTAGGCCCTAAAGTATAAAGTATAAGAGAAGAGAATTGAGGAGGAAAAAAAAAAAGGATAATTTTTTTCCTTCCTTTCAGGCTGGCTTACAGTTGGACCAACTCTTACAAATAGCAACTACAATGCAGAAACATATGCGTCCTACTTCAGTGCCCCTAATTCCTACTTGACTGGATGTACAGAAGAGATTGAGAGACTTCGACCAAAATCACCTCCTCCCAAATCTAAAGCTGACCGTGGAGGTGGAGCTCCCAGGGGTGGAGGAAGAGGTGGAACTTCTGCTGGCCGTGGCCGAGAAAGAAATCGATCTAACTTCCGAGGAGAAAGAGGTGGCTTTAGAGGGGGCCGTGGAGGAGCACACAGGGGTGGCTTTCCGCCTCGATAATTTCTGAAGACACTGGTCCTATTAATGCTCCTCTTCCTTCTTCATTGCATTTTGAATTTCAGTTGGAAGACTTAACTTGAGAACTCAATTCCAGCTTGTACTTTGCTTTTAGATTCTCAGAGCTGCAGGAATATCTTAGCCAACCTCCCCGTGAGATTGTCTCACACCTTATCTAGGTTTTTCCAGGATAAACAGTAATCCTGCCCTTTGTCATGCACATGTAACTGACCAGAATGGAGCACAGATGACTTTATCTTCAGAGACTGATTTGATTCTTACTAATTACAAAGGTTTTTGATTTTTAGAAAGTGTTGTGGTTTACTTTTCAGTGAAAAGGCCCAATCTGTAGTATGATACTAGTGTCACAGAAGTCTAGAGAATGTGCATCTTGCCACTGCTGTCACAGCACATGGTAGCCTTTGCAAGCCTTGATAGAATAAAGTTAGGACAGATGGTAAGCTTCTGCCAGGATTGTAACAATTTCTTGATGAAACAATAAGAGGTAAACTTCTTTTCTTTTTACTCTTACAAATACAGGTATAATTTGAGTATTTGGCATACTTAAAAAAGACAAAAACCCGCAAAGCTCATCATTATAATCTGATGACAATTAATCATGCTTCATGTGAAGCATACAAGGACAAACATCCTGTGCTAGGACTTTGGTGTGGACTTGAACTTGGATTGACCTTTGAAGTAGTTTTGTATTCCTTGCAAAATAAAAATAACAGAGACACCTGGTTATCCAGTGCTTGCTTTAAACATTTTGAGGGAATAAAGAACTTGGTGATGAGGAAATGACATATATCTTTTAACTTGGTGTGGAGAAATTAATGTTTAACCAATTACGGTAAGCCTTCAATTTAAGAATACAGGTTGGAAAATGGAACTGCAGTTGTCTTTTATTAAAAGCATATATTCCATTGTTTGTTTTTAAGGGACTGGTTTTATAGATCTATTCGTTGTATAAGAGTTTATGCCATTATTTCTCTTTCTAAATGAATGTACTGAATGAAATATCATTGTTATTCTTGATTTATACATTTTTTATTGTATATAACTTTTATTATGTAAACGTTAAACCTTTGAAATTTGGAAGTCTGTTTCCTGTAAGTGGAATTACTGTTGTCAGTAAAAGAAAAAAGGATCAACATAAAATCAAGCTCTTCTTTTGGTCTAAGGTGCATTGTGGTGGCCGTTCTAGCCTTTTTCTACTGGCTCATATTATACTTAAGATCAGGTTATATTACACCCACTAAAGGTTGAGTTTGAAGATAAAGATTAAATTATAGAAATAAGGTTGAGGTCTTTAAAAATCTGGTAACTTTAACAACTTGCTCAAGTTGTTAGTACTTTGTAATACAGATAGCATTTGACTAACATGTTCCTTGATAGAGACATTTTGTATCACAGTTGATTACATATTTTGCTGAAAGATGCTGTATGTTCAACTTCAGTAATTACAAATTATCTAAAAGCAGAACTGTGGTGTTCCAGTTGCCCACTGATAGGTCCTTAGAAGTGTTAGTGAGCAGTGACCATGTCCCTTGCACAGGTCTCTGCTTTGTTCTATACCCGGGCCATAGCTGAGGGAAGGTGACATTGCTGGTGCTTACCTGGACCCATCACTTATGAGATCTGTATCACAAAATCATCTTCTGGAGACTTAGGAATGGCTTCTTTGTAGGTTACAACTAGAGGGGAGCCACTGGTGCATCATGTTTAGAAAAGAGCAAATAAAAGAGTGGTGGGAAAAGAATACAAAGCTCCCAGTTTATTCCTTTGACAATGTAGTATTCCCTTCAAATCAACAGAAGAGGACGGTTGTCGGTCACTAGCTTTGCTACTGTTTACTTTCATTAAAGTTGGGGTAGGTGTCATTTCTCTAGTAAAATATTAATTCATTGAGGAAAGGTTTTGATGAAAATTTATCATGACTTCTGACTTCTGATCATCTCTATGTTTACATGTCTTAGATGTTTTAAAAAATTATCCAGGAATCGCCAAAAGTAAGTTAGTTTATTAGCTGCTTCACTTAATGCTTCCATCATATATATATTTATATTCTTAATATTTATAGATAAATATATGATGAAAACATATTTATGTAAGTGAAGAATATAAATAAAATATAATTAAACATATGTATATGATGGAAGCATTAAGTGGAGTAGCTAAAAATTAGTTTCTTAAAAAAATATTTTATTAATATATACATTTGGGGATGTTGTTGTTCCTAGGTGCTGTCAAGTCAGTGCCAACTCACAGCGACCCTGTAAGTACAATAAAATGAAACACTGCCCAGTCCTGTGCCAGCCTCACAATCCTTGCTATACCTGAGCCCATCATTGCAGCCACTGGGTCAAACCATCTCATTGAGGGCCTTCCCCTTCTTCGCTGACCCTCCATCTTGGGATGTTGTTGTTGTTATGTGATGTCAAGTTATCTCTGACTCATAGCTACCTTAGGTACAACAGAACAAGACACTGTCCGGTCCTGTGCCAGCTTCACTATCCCTACTATACCTGAGCCCATCACTGCAGCCGCCATGTCTGTCCAGCTCATTGAGGGCCTTCCCCTCTTTTGTTGATCTTCTACTTTACTAAGCATGACATCCTTCTCCAGAGAATGATCCCTTCCAACAACATGACCAAAGTAGATGACATGAAGTTTGGCCATTCTTGCTTCCAAGGAGCATTCTGGCTACACTTCTTCCAGGACAGATTTGTTAGTCCTTTAAACAGTCCATGGTACTTTCAGCATTCTTCGCCAGCACCACAACTCAAAAGCATCAGTTTTTCTTTGGTCTTCCTTATTCATTGTCCAGCTCTCACATGCATACGAGACGATTGAAAATACCATGGCTTGGGTTAAGTGCATCCTGGTCTTCAAGATATCTTTGCTCTTTAGTGCTTGAAAGAGGTCTTTTGGAGCAGATTTTCCCAATGCAATACGTCTTTTGATGTCTTGACTGCTGCTTCCATTGGTGTTAATTGTAGAACCAAGTAATATGAAGTCTTCGACAACTTCAGTCTTCTCCATCTATTGTGATGCTGCTTATTGGTCCAGTTGTGAGGATTTTTGTTTTATGTTGAAGTGTACTCCATACTGTAGATTGTAGTCTTTAATTTTCATCAGTAAGTGCTGTAAATCATCCTCATTTTCAGCAAACAAAGTTGTGTCTTCTGCATATTACAGGTTAATAAGCCTTCCTCTGATCCTGATGCCGCACTCTTCTTCATATAGTCCAACTTCTCAGATTATTTGCTCTTCATACAAGTTGAATAAGTATGGTGAAAGGATGCAACCCTGACACACTCCCTTCCTGATTTTAAACCATAAAATAGCCCCTTGTTATGTTCAAATGACAGCCTCCTGGTCTGTGACAGGTTCGTCATGAGTACAATTAAGTGTTCTGGAATTCCCATTCCTCTCAAAGTTATCTATAATTTGTTATGATCCACACAATCAAATGTTTTTGCATTGTCAATAAAACACAATAAACATCTTTCTGGTATTCTTTGCTTTGAGCCTCTTTTGGAAAGCCGGAACTGGTAGGGACAGCTGGGAGGCGGCAACAGATGGCTTTTTGGATGGCTGAAACTGGTAGGATAGGCCAGGAGGCGGTAGCAGATGGCTTTTTGGAGGGCCAGAACTGGTAGTGATGGTCAGGAGGCAGCGCAGATGGCTTTTGGAGGGCCAGAACTGGTAGAGAAGGCCAGGAAGTGGGGGTGGAACAGTTTGGAACAGCTAAGGGAGAAGAATTCGTCTGTCAGTTTGTTGTCCTGTGGTGGCTTGTGTGTTTCTGTGAAGCTGGAGGCTGTGCCACCAGTGTTTCAAGTGCCAACAGGATTAGCCCTAGTGGACAGGTTTCTTCAGAGCTTCCAGCCTAAGACAGACTTGGAAGAAGGAGGAAGCCATCCACTTCTCAGAGAATTGGCCAGTGCAAACCTTATGAATTGCAGTGAAACACTGTCTAATATATTACTGAAAAATAACCCTGAAACATTGTCTGATACAGTGACAGAGGATAAGCCTCTCGGATCAAGAGGCACTCAAAATAAGACTAGGAAAGAGCTGCCTCCTCAGAATAGAGCTAGCCTTAATGATGTGGATGGAGTAAAGCTTTCAGGACCTACTTTCGCTGATGTGGCACAACTGAAGAAGAAACAGCTGCAAATATCCATTAATAACTGGAACAAGGAATATACAAAGTAGGAATCTAGGAAAATAGGAAGTTGTCAAAAGTGAAGTGAAATGCATAAATATTGATATCCTAGGCATTGTGTTCCTGTTACGTGCCATAGAGTTGGACCCGACTCAGCGACCCCTTCTTGGTTTTCCGAGGCAGTATCACTACAGAAGTAGATTGTCCAACCTTCCTCCTGAGGAGTGACTGGTGGGTTTGAACCACCAACCTTCTGATTATTAGTCAAGTGCTTTAGGCACTATGCTACCAGAGCTTCCATCCTAGGCGTTGTTGTTGTTGTTATGTGCCGTCGAGTCAAACCCATAGCAACCCCTCCTTGGGTTTCTGAGGCAGTATCACTATGGAAGTAGGATTGCCCAACCTTCCTTCCAAGGAGTGGCTGGTGGGTTTGAACCGCCAG